GCACCTTCCCGGCCCCCCCTGCCCCAGGGCCCAGGGGTCCGCTCTCCAACTCCCTTGTCCCTTTCCTGCAGGAGTTTGGGACCCTGGCCCCTGCCACTGTTCAGATACCAGCGTCCCAGACCCTACCCCGGGCTCCTCCCAGGACCCTGGATGCCCAGCCTCCGGTTCCCCTGTCCCTAAGAAACCGAAACCCCTCCCCCCTGCCCTCCGACCCAGGCGTCCAGGCCTCCATTCGCCGCCTCCACCCGGACTTCCCTCAGCCCCAGGGGTTCCACCAAGGCCCCACCTGCTCGGGCCCCCCGGGGCGCTGGCCACCTCCCAGAGGAGCCCCAGCCCTCGGGCTCCCACGCCGGGGTCTCCTCCATGGCCCCAGGAGCAGTTGTTTCCGCGTCTAGCGACCGGCTGGGCGGCACCGCTCTGGGGGAGGGCGGGGCCTGAGGCTGGTCACACCTGGGCACCAGGTGGCCCGGAGGGAATAGCGAGCACTTCCTATAACCTGTCGGGGCGGCTGCTCCCAAAGGTCTGCTGGGAACAGGTGCCGTGAGGATCCTGGGAACCCCGGCGAGCATGGCACAGGGGGTTTGGAGGCCCAAGTCCCCCCACTCTGGTCTGTCACCCAGACAGTCCACACAGTCTGTGTGCAGCACTTTATTGGGAGAGTCACACATTCTGATGCCGCCCTCTTAGGCCACAGGATGACAAGAGGGTAGCAGGGGCACTGGGATCCTGAGGTGGCTCCAGGGACGGTGCTCTCCAGGCCTGCTCACTTGTGCCTCAGTTTCCCCTTTGTGAAATGGAAGGTTATGTACCCTCCCAGGCCTGAAACACTGGTGTGATGACAAAAAAGTAAAAAGCCACCAGGAACAGGCTCCCCACACCCTGTGCCTCCTCCCCCACTGTGGGGTGGAGAAGGGGACTTTGCCCCAAGGCCCCTGCTGTTCAGGGGCATCCAGCTCTCTGAAAACCTGAAAGCTCGGCAGGGACCAAGGGAGCCTTGTCTGGGCAGAGTCTGTGTTTTACAGGCAGGAAAGGCCTTGGGAGCCAGGGGGAGCTTGGGCTATGCTCTGTGCCAGGCAGGGTGCTGAGCGGAAGCGGGAACCCTCTCCAGGCTCCAGGCCCCAGGCCCCAAGCCCCAGCAAGGGCTCTTTCTGGGAGACGAGTGGCAGCCTGGTTCATAGAATTCCCAGGCAAAAGCTTGGCAGCTGCACCGAGGGAGAGTCGGCAGCTTACTCCTCCCGGAGCTTTTCCGGGGCAAGGCCGTCAGCCTGGGACGTGGCCTTCCGCCGGCTGGGGCTGCCCCCACCCAAAGCCAGCCCGAGGCCCAGGGCCACCAAGGCCAGGATGTGGATGCAGAAGTAGATGGAGGCCCAGTAGCGGAGGGTGTCACCCATGGAGAGCAGCACGAAGCCCATACACATGTAGTCATAGGCCCGCATCTTCAGGAACCAGTGTGCCCAGTCCCAGGCCTGCTGGCCACCTGGGCCCAGCCGCCACCTCAGTGCCGACTCCAGCCGGCCCTCAGCTGCCAGGCACAGCGGGATGGTCAGGAAGCTTAGGTAGTAGCCAGGGTGGAGGCCATGCCAGTAGGCACTCAGCAGCATGGTCCAGGCGCTCCTGCAGGAGAGAGGAAGGGACGGCATCAGGACCCAGGACCCTGGCCCCCAGCCCTCCTCATAAATCAGGTCATTCACCCAGGTAAGTCTACCTCCAGAACTCCCACTGTTCCCAGACAGTCAGTAGGAGCACCAGGGGAGTCTCCCCCATTGGCCAAGATGGTGTAGGGGGAAGTTCTTACACCCAGTGGTCAAAAGCTAGAAATATGGACAGGACCCCTGCATACCAAAAGCTAGAAATATAAATGTACAGGGCCCAATGAAGCACACCAAAAGCTAACAAGATAATTAGGTAGAAAAAAAAGTCCTTCCCTTCCTATCCCTATAACCATGTGCTTGAGTAGGAAGGGGAGATGGTCTTTGAGAGTCCACCATTCTCCCAGGTCCCTCAACACCTGAATAAACTTCCTTCCTTTTGCACCAGCACCTGCCTCACAAGTTTGGCTTTGGTTGTGAAAGGCAGCTGACCCTGCATATTTTTTGTGTTTTTTGGTTACACCACCACTAATGACTTCATTATGAGGAAGTTTTGTTGGGTATCCTGACTTCATCTGAATACCTGCTCAATCTTCACATCAACCTATGAAACAGGTAACAGCGTTACCCCCATGTATCAGAGGAAACAGAACTCACTGCTCAAGGTTTCTGAGTAATTGCTGGGGCTGAGATTCTGGAAAGTTTAGCTATTGAGCCCAGAGGACTCAGTGCAGTGCTTCTGTCCGCTGACTTTACAGAAGTAGAAACTGACAGGAAATAAGTCAACCCACAGTAATGCAATCAGCAGAAGCACAAGATATTCAGAAAACTACAACTCTCATGACCATCAGGAGTAAAGTCCCAGCCTGATAGCTTCAGGCTGCACTGCGTGCTGCTGGGAGATGTAGTTCTGTCCCGTCTAGGGCTGGCAGGCTCACCTGAGAACATAGGAGCTGGTGGGCGCACTCTTGTAGACATACTGTGCCAGCCACCACTGCACCGTCATGTTCCAGTACCGCATGCCCTCCCGCACCCGCATGCAGAAGTCTGTGCGGTAGCAGTTGATGTTGCGGATGGTCTCATAGTCGTACTCCAGGGCAGCCGCCTCCTCCAGACTGGGGGGTGGAGGATGAGGGTGGGGGACAGACATGCAACTCAGCCAGGCCCCCTCCTGATGCCGACTACTGTCCCAGCCCCAGTGCTAAGGAGGGGATCGCTGGCTAGGGCAACAGGGGAGGGTAGCCCAGAGGGAGCCTTTTTAGGGAAAGGTGGTGGTAGGGCACACAGTTCACCAACAGTGGGGTTCTCTTGGCAACGAGGCCTGAGAAAAAGCTTTGAAGGGATATGGTTGCTAGGCTAGGAGTCCTTAGCAACCTGACCCTTCACTGGTCTCCCATGCCAGAGAAAAGCCATTTCTCAGCAACCAAGCTCAGTGTATTGAGAGAAGCCACCAAGTGCTGTTCCCTCTGAGTTGTCAGACACTGTGGTTGCTATGGAAGTAGCATCCTTAACAATGAGGTGGTCTGTGGTTGCTAGGGAGATGTTCTAGGCCTGGACGGTCTCTTTTGCTAGGGAAAGGGCATTCCTTAGCAACAAGATCTGAAATGTTTAGGTTTTGGAAAGAGCCTTTGGCTATTGGTCCTTATGATTGTTCAATAAGTGTTACCCCCAGCAATATGGTGGTTCCTGGGTTACCGGTGTCAACACCCCCAGCAGGGGGGCATCCTTGGCCCACCTGAACGCCTGATGGCTTCTGATAATGGGAGGGCAGCCATCCACTCGGAGTGGGGCTAGCAGGGTTAGAGAAGCCTTTGGTTCCCGCCTGACATTTTCTGGGGGATGCCCTCTCCAGCAACTGGAGGTCAACCCATGGTTCTAAGGGCAATGGAAATAAACTTGTGTGGGGGTGCCACCTTCCCCACAGTGGAATGGCAGTTCATGTCTACTAGGTGACGGCCGCATCCTATCAAGGAGTATTTCATAATTTACATCGAGGAGGGGCCCCTCTAGCCCTGGCAGAGGCTGACTGTGGTTGCTAGGAAGAGAGGCAGTCCACTCCAGGTTGCTAGTGGCACCATTTCCCTAGCAACACTTCCTTAGCAACAAGAAAGCCCGTAGTTACCAGTGGTGTGACTTACCTAGCAGTGAGGAGTTGGGGGGAGGGGAGGTAGCATTACTAGCAACAATGTCAATCCTTCGTTACCAGGGGTATGGGCTTCCTCAGTAAGATAGGTGGGTGACCTATGGTTGCTAGGAATGGTATCCCCTCTGCTAGAGGCCAGCACAGTCAGGGATGCCATTTTCTTAGGAACAAAGGACAACTGCAGGCTACGTGATGACATTCCACAGGAGGGGAATGCTGGCTCCTAGCAGCAAAGGGGTAATTTGGTGCCATTTTTATAGCAGCAAAGAATAACACTTCCGGCAGGAAGGAGTGGACCATGGTTGCTTGGGAACCTGCTAGGGAACCCTAGCAAACAGGGGTGGTCCAGTTGCTAGGGAAACGGTTCCCTACCAACATAGGGCAACCCATCACTGCCCAATGATGGCATCCTGAGCAACCAGGTACAGCCCGGGTTATTTGGGTGACACTCCCATGGCAACAGAGGGGCTGCACATGGTTGCTAGGATACCACCTTCCTCTTCCTAGCAACAGAGAGCAATTTGCCATCTCAAGGGGTGATAAGCGCTAGCAACAAGGGACAATCCCTAGGTATCAGAAGTGCTGTTCCCTAGGACAGGGGAAGGCGAGCTGAGGTGGCCCAGGGGCGACACTGCGCCAACAACAGGTGGTGGACCTGCCCCCTGCCCCCCGCTATCCTCCCTGCTAGGGGCAGGGCCAGCCCGTGGTGGTGGGGCCTGCCGGGTCTTGGGTCACCTCCCTCCCGCCGCCTGACCTGCTGGGGGGTGGGCATTGGAGGGTGGGGCCGCCCCCGGCCCGGGCTTTGGCGGCCACGGGGTAGGCCCCGAAGCCGGCGGCAATGCAGCCACACTCGGCCGCAATCCAGGCCACGTAGAAGCGCATGCGGAAGGCGAAGAAGACGGGGATCATGTAGAAGAGGCGGGCGGGCAGCGGGCGGGCGTAGAAGGCGTCCTCGCGCACGGCCTCCAGCGGGAAGAGGTGCGAGGAGAGCAGGAAGAGCAGCCCGAAGAGCGGCGCCGGCCAGGCACGGCGCAGCAGGGGCCGCAGGCTGGGCACGGCGCCCGGGAACGGCTGCTCCAGCCAGTCCAGGTACGTGCGGTAGCGGAAGAACGGGCCTGCGGCGGGAGGGGCGGCGGCGCTCAGCCCTGGACCCAGGGCCACCCGGACCAGGGCAGGGCTGGAGTCGGAGGGGGCGAGGGCCGGGGCAGGAGGGGAAGGAGAGGCAGAGGCAGGGTGGGCGCGACAAAGGACAAGGAGGCAGAGGGGAGGACAGGGGGCAGTTACAGAGGGACAAAGACCCAACGGGGAGGGGCACGGAGGCTCGGACACCAGTGGCATCAGACAGGCAGACAGAACCCAGGAGGACTCGGGTTTGTTCCCAGAGCTAGGAAACCCTGCCAGCTGTTCCCGCAGGACGGGAGGAGTACCAGTCACCTTCCCAGGGACCCCTCAGCCTCTGAGAGGGGAGGGGACAGCAGAGGGACAATGATGGAAAATGGAGACTGTTTCGGGTAAGATGATGGCCGGCTTAGGGAGGGAGCAGTGGGGGTTAACAGAAGCGAAGGGTGTCAGCAGCCTGGCATGTCACCAAGGCCACACAGCGTGTGCTTTCTACAAGGTTTACAACAAGCAAAACCACACGGATAGAAAGTCCATCGGTGGTTCCCAGGGACTGGGGTTGTAGGGAGGTTTGGGGGATGACAGCCGAAGGGTGCAATGTTTCTTTCTGGGGTGACGGAACTGTTCTACAACTACAGGGCGGGGACGGTCGCACAGCTCCATGAATGCACTAACACTGGCGGTCTGGACATGGTCATGAATGGGAAAAGATGTCAATTATAGCTCAAGAAAGTTGTCATAAAAAAGAAAACCTTGTAGGAGGTCGACATTTGTGACAAATATTTTCTGAAACTCTACAGTGTAGACCTTCCTCCTCTATCTCCTGTTTGGTCCCCAAAAGCTACAAGGAACCACAGGCTGAGAACAGTCCGTGTCTCCCCTGGAGGAGCCCGGGGGTCCGGTGGGAGGGTCAGACATAGGAGCTCACCCTCAGAGCAGCAGATGCTGGAATGGAGATGGGGAAGGAGGGAGAGGCAGGCCGGGAGCAGGCGCACTCACCTGTCATGATTCCCACGTAGCAGTAGCTGTAGCTGAGTGTCTCCATCAGGGAGGGGACGTCAGGCAGCAGTCCCAGGCTGGGCCCCTTGCTGAAGCCCAAGGCCATTTCCTTCCTCTGGGCCAGGTGCAGGTCCTGTACCTCACTAGCCAGACTCACCAGCTGGGAGGAAGAGGAGTGGCCAGGGGACAAGTCAAACTCCAGGCTGGCTTACACCATCTCCCTGAAGCTACCCACCTGGGCAGCCAAGGGGTGCTGGGGTGCAGCCAGGAGCTGAGTTCTATGCCCTGGGAGTAGTAATGGCATCTTAGTGTCTCAACGGATGGCAGGCATTCCTGGGGGATCACTCCTGGGCCTGCCTGTCTTCTTTCTCTGTGTTCTGCTGTGGTCTGGGCCTTTCAATACCCCCCACCTTCACCTCATGACTCCTAAACTCTACCCTGGCTGGGACTTCTCTCCCCCAAACCTACCCATCAAGTTGCCTCTTACTGATGCTCAAATATCTACTGGGCACACGCACAGTGGAACCCGGTATTATCCACTCCCCAAACCAGATCTGCTTCTAGACTCTCCCCTCAGGCAATGGCACTGCCACCCAATGAATTGCTCAGGCCTGGAAACCTTCCTTTCTCCCCAGATCTATTCCCTCGGGTCTCTTGAGCCCTAGCCCTGAACCTTTTGTTTTGCCTCCACCACGGGGCTGGATATGCCTGGCCTGCCCCTCCAGGTGTGCTCTCTACCCTTCTCCGCACAGACCCGAGGCCGGCCCTGCAGAGTCTTCCAGCTCCCTCCTGTTAAGTCGACCCAGGACCCCAGGAGGAGATGGAGGAAGGCATGACAGGGGGCTGGGGCTTTATTCCCTTGTAAGACCACTTCGGGCTGGCATGACCTTGGGTAAATCTCAGGGTAGGTGCCTCTACACAAGTCTTCTCCTTCTGGGCTCTTCTGCCAGTCCCTCCTCTCTTCCCCTGGGGCCTCACCCCAGCTGCTGGTCCAGGATTCTTGCACTGTCCCTGTCTCTACCATGGCCTGCCCACCCCGCTGTAAGTAATAACTCCTCAAGTTACCCTAAATGTGGCTCTTCCTGTTGGGACTCAGACTGACCGAACTTGTGTCCCCAGAGGCCGTTCCTCCAACTCTTCTAGCTCAGCATTGCCTGCCTGTCCTGCACCCCCATCCTGAGGAGATCCAGCTGGCTAGCGGGCATGACTGTTCTGCTCACTGCTCTGTCTGTCGCTGGAGCCCAGAGCACCATGGGAACTCATGACTTCTTGGTCTGAGATGGGGCCTGGGAATCTCTTTTCGCCCATCTTCCCAGATGATTTAGAGCCAGACCTGGGTGTCCTGGTTTTGCATCCTTGGATAAGTGTCTTCTTCCCAGAGCTGGCCTTCCTCTTTTGCAACATGACTTGCCCCACAGACACCAGGAAGGCATGTAGGTGAGAGCACTTGGCTCAGCCTCGGCACCCACGCATGCATTATTCAAGATATCTTTTTACCCCAGGGAAGAGCTGAGGTGAAGCCCTGCCCCCGGGTGTGTGGGAGATAAAATCCCACCTTCCCTGTCCCTCACAGGAGTGGCGGGGAGGAGGAGGTGATGTTGGGGGGTTAACTGGCACAGGGGAGGGTGGAGGGTAGTCTGACCTTCAGTGTCAGCAGCAGCTGGACGGCATTGGTGAAGGGCGTGGGAGTGGGCAGGCCCAGCAGGCTGAGCGCTCGGAAGAACAGGAGGTAGGAGAAGGTCCAGGCTAGGGCCAGGGCGTGGCAGGAGCTGGGGCAGAGGTAGGAGGCGGTGGTGCTGGGCTCCCAGATCTGCCCTCCCCTGCCCCAGATTCTAGCTACAAGTCCTCCCCCACCTCCCCACCTTCAGAGACAGAAAATGGGGGGCCGGTGTGGGGGCAGAATGAGCAAGACTGACACAGCGGGAGAAGAGGCACAGCCACGTGCGAAAGCGCAGTTACAGAGAAGAGAAAACGAGAAGAGGTTAAGGGAGCTTCGGGCGAACACCCTTCCATTCGCTTTTTACTGGGAGGAAGGGGGAGAGAGGGAGGACAGGAGAGGGGATATGAGATGGATGGTGGCAGGCTCGGCAGACAAGTAATGGTCTCCTGCCTCCTGAATCCATCACGTGGACGTAGAGGAGCCAAGCAAACACGCAGGAACAAGACCCAGAAAGGCAGGAGAGGAAAAAACAGACAAACGACCCAAACAAGAGATGTCCACAGAGCAAGTGAGGCAGAAACCGAGGATGACTCAAAGAAGACACAGGTGGCTACCTCTCCCCCTCCATGCTCCCCCGGCCCCGTCCTCACCAGGGCTGGGCCTGAATGAGGGCCCAGGTCCCAAGGACAGTGATCAGAGAGTGCAGAGTGTGGGGGCCGCAGGTGAACAAGGTGAGCCCCAGGCCCACAGCTGCTGCCCCCCATCTCTTCAGCCCAGGTCCTGCAGAGAGAAGAGACAGCATAAGCCTGGAACCTTCCAGGGGTCCCCCCCCCCCC